AGCTCCCGTGAGTCACAAATACATGAATTCCGCCAACAACCTGAATGAGAAGACTGTTCCTAAATCAAGCCACCGGAGAAGAATGGACCTGGTCAACACCTCGTCACAACCTGAAGCAGAGAACCCATGATTGGAGTCTTGACCAGTGAATCTCTGAAATAATAAATTTGTGCTGCCATAAGCCAATGGGTTTGTAGTAATTTGTTTACACAGCAATATAAATTGAACGCTCTCTTCCTATAAAACATATCTCTACTTCTGTTATCACCCAGTTCCAAGCCACCACTAACTCTGACAGATAACTATAATGGCATCCTATTTGATCTCCCTGCTTCTCCTCTTGCCTCCTCTATAGGCTTTTTTCAGCATGGCAGCCAAAGTTCCCATTAAATGTTCATTATATTATCAATTCTCTGCCCCAAACCTCCAATGGCTTCTCATCTTAGAGTAAAAGCTAAAGCCTTCATAATGAGCCATAAGGCACCATGTACTCTTTTTTCTCCCCTTACCTCTCTCATCTCATCTCCTGTTTGTCTTCCCTTTGCTTACTCTGCTCCAGCTACACTAGCATCTTTGCTTTTCTTCAAACAAATCAAGATCATTCTTCTCCATCTCTCCTCCCTCCCGAACTTTCCACTTGCTCTTTTCTTTGGCACAAACATTCCTCCTCCAGATATCCTTCTTTCTACCTCGCCCCTTTCAAGTTCTCCATCAGATATTACACTTGCAGTATGGTCATGCCTAATTACTCCATGAAAATTATGACTCATCCCCAGCAACCTTTCCTGCTTTGTTTTAAACCTGAACCCTTAGAACCAACTAACATAAACATTTGCCTTTTTATATTGTTCATTGTCATCTCTCTCATTAAGGTGAGAATTTCTACTTTCTTTATTCGTGGATTTATCTTTATGATTCTTTCAATCCTGTTGCCCAGATTGAGGATGCTGCCTTGTACATGAGAAATGGGCTGTGAGCTAGAGGAGCCTGGGCTTCTGGGGTCATTATACCAGCCTATTCTTCCAAAATTTTATGTGGCAGAGGATGTAAACTTCTTTCTTGTTTAACCCACTGTTATTTGGGGTTTATTTAGTTACCCATGACTGAACTCTATTCTCTTAATAATCACCTTATTCTTCAAGCTTTTCTATTAATTTAGTTTAGTCACTATTCAGCTAACTACTAAACTTATTACCAAACAGCATGTGGGGCAATAGCCCATTCTCTCTATATATGACAATAAGTCATTAATTAGGAGATAAGGACAAAGACCAAGATTTTAATGTCCATCTACCAGAAAGAGACAAGAGAGAAAGAGGAGAAAATCTATTTCTGTGGCTCCCTGGCTCACAGTGGTGTGCAAATTGTAGACCTGAATTCTGAAGATCCGGATTTTAATGTTGATTCTTAAAAACAACAGTTTCCTCTTTCAAAAAATGGGGCCATCCATCCTCCCTCTTCCAGTTTCCCCAGAGTCCAAATAAAATAATTTATGTGGAAATATTTTCCTAATTATAAAGCCCCATACAAATGTAAAATTTTTATATCAAAGGAATAAGAGTAAATCTTGTTTCAAGAAAAATGAATGGCAAGACTTGGCATTGGCGAATGTAGCAGAATTAGGTTCAATAGATGTCAAATAGAGTATGTTTTATTTACATTCTAATTTTCTTTCCTTCTTCCTCATAATCTTAAGACAGGATATAGTAGTAAAAATTGAATTCTAATATTTCAGAAACAACCTGAAGCAACACAATTGGGAGAAAAAAAAGAGTGTAAGAGTAACAATTTCCAAATTCAAAATCAAATAAAATGCATTCTTCAATCAACTCAGCTAATAAAACTTGGGGCAATAATGATAAAAAATGATATGCTTTATTTCTGTCTTATTTACATTCTAATTTTTCTCTTGATTTTTCTCTTTGTGTTGGGAAACACCAAGTATGTGAACATTTCATAGAAAATATTGCTCTGATCTTTCACTTGAGGAAGGTGGCAAGAGAAGGGGGAAAGGATTCAGATAGAGAAAAGGGGGGAAAAAACCAGAATGATAGCAAAAGAAATCAGGACTCTGAATCAAACAAGATTTCACAGATGATGATGAGTCTTTTATCCCCCCAAAACAAACTGGCAGTAATTATTTTATCTCTGATACAAAATTATGATGTCCAGAGGCAGCCAACATTTATTTGACAACACCCTAATGGGAAGCTTAGCACATCTTGAGAACTTCATTTTATTGATCTCAACATAGGGCCAAGTCAGATCCTCAGAAGCCATCTGTCAGCTCGCTCCAATTGCTGATGTGGGCATCCTCGAAGGTAGCAGAATCAGTGGAGGCATTTACACATAGAAGGAGAAAGATGACTAGATTCTCCAGGGAGTTTGTAAAGTGACTTTAGCCACATGGGACTTAATTTGATTACGCAATAGAAATAAATCCTGCCTCTGCTTACTTGCGTGGTTCAGCTGCTTTTCAGCATTTCGAAAACCGCATGTCATGGCTGCAAATTAGTTCTGCTCTTACAGACTATTTTCCCATCGTTCTCTTTTTCCTTCATGTGGAAATCATGTATTCTAAGTATATCCATACAAACCAATAAAAATGTGTGAAAAGATGTTTTGAAAAGTGGAAGAACACACTGCTTTGAGCTATTCCTTATAAAAACTCAAAAAGGTTTCTTTCACCAAACTTACTTTCTAAATTTCCTAAATGAAAGAAATGAATTTAGTAACATTTCATTTGGT